AATTAAATGAGAATATTTATCTCTTATTGTTTTTAACATTTAGTTTCAATAACAGATAAAAAATATTTTTTCCCCAAATTGATATAGTTAATGAAGTACAGTGTACTTATTCCATTTAAGATATTGTTCAGCACTTATATAGTGCTGAACAATATCTTAAATGGAATAAAGCCCTTCTTTGTTTTTTTCTTTATATATCATTTTCTGAAGAAAGAAATCTTTTTTTTTTTATTTTTTTAGAGATAATCCATTTTATAACATAGCTAGAGATTCTTCATCGATTCCATTTTATAACATCTTGAACTGTGCAGGCAATGAAGTTAACATAAATACATGTCCAAATCGATTGCTTGACTGTCCATCAAGATCAGCTGTAGCTCTAACATGTCAAAGTAAGGTTGTTTAAGTAACGGTTGAAAAAAAATTTTTTTAATGGTATTGTCTTTTAAATTTCATTTTTTTTTATCTCTGCAATGACATGTGGGCATACATTTCTCTAATCTCATCATCTGAATATGTGGCGTGGCAAAAAACTATTCTTAAGACAAATCATCATATATTAATATGTAATGGTTTATGTTTTTTTGTTGTAGAGCACTAAATATTTTTAATCCTATCATATAAATACGTGTCGTACCCAAGATCTTTTTTAGACAAATCAACATAAGGTATAATTATACATATTTTTTTTTTAATTTCTACAGAAGGCAGCACACTGTCTGGATTTTCTGTGTATGTCTCTGATACTGAAGACTGGAGGTCAGGAACTCTCTGTTATCAACACGACATACAACAAGTACCACCTAATGAGGTCACCTTAGACTGTGTCACTTCCGGTCGCTACGTCACTGTTGACAATACAAGGAATACAACCATATACCCAAATGTATCTGAATTTTCATATATTAATATATGTGAAATTAAAGGTAACGGTTTTCCTCTCTTTCATTCATGGATAAATAAGTAAAATTCCATTCAATATGTTTTCAAAGCAAGTTACTATACAATTCATATAAATTACGTACTTTTATCAATTATCTATGTAAAATGACCTTATGAAATTATCGCTTATCCCCCTATCGATTCTTTGATTGCTTGTTTGTTTGTTTACGCATTCCGTACGAAAATAAACCCTATTTTCTGTAAATCTCAAAAGAACATTAACCGTTTTTCAGTAATTTGACTCTAAATAGAAATTTTCGGAAATGATTAAGGGTGTCTCTCACGTGTTATGCTCTTATCGAGTCAAACTCCTGCTACTTTGCTTAAACTTCATATACAGTAAAACACACTTAAAACGAAATAAATATAAGGGAGTAAGGGCTTTGCTTTAGTCTGGTTCGATTTAAAAAAATCTAACGGTAGATAATTATTATTTGGTCCAGCATAGCGTTTTAACCTATTTTGAATATGCTGAATCCGAAAAAAATATGCTGGCCTTCATGAAAATTGCGTTAAAAAGGTCAAAATAGCGATTCAAAATGGCGGACATCCAGTTTTTCTTATTTTCTCTTAATGTCTTTCAAAACGGAGAAATGATGCGTGAAAATCTCACTGAGTGTAATGCAACAATAAAAATGATAAAACAATGCTAATTTGAATACTTTAACTCAGAAAATTTACTCGGTTATACATTTAATTCGAATTTGCTCTGATTTATTTGTCTATTTTTTTTTCTATATTCTGCTTTGTTCTGGATTTTACATTTGCAAATATACATACACTGTAGGTTTGTATTTTTTACCCTGCATCTCACTATTCTACAACTGAGTGATCGTGCAGCTGTATTTTATAAGTCAAAATGGCGATTCAAAATGGCGGATATTCATTTTTTCAAATTATTTTTAATGTTTAAATAGGAGAAAGGATTTGTGAATATCTTACTGAGTGTAATAAAACTATGAAAATGACAATAGAGCATTAATATTATCACTTTAATTCGGAAAATCTGATCGTTTAAATTCAAAATGTGTTACATGTAATTAGCTCAAAATGGCGTTCAAAATGACGAACACTCGAATTTTGTAGAATACTCACACTGCTTAATTCGGAGTCGTTTTGCATAGAATAATTTATAACATTTTTTTTCATTAATAAAGTAATGTTCAAATGTTTAGTTTAAGTTTGTGGGAAATTGTTGTTAATGATTTATGATTTTTATGACACAGTTCTTTGTTTAATTACTTTTAACGACATGACCTAATAGGTACATGTATATGTACATGTACCCGTCTCATCATATGTATCTTCATGTAAAAATTAATAATATCATACAATAATTACTATTAAAAGGACGCTATGCCAATTAAGCTACCCCAAAAGCAGTAATCCCCGAGCATAAAGGCGAGTGAACATTGCGATTCGAGGGTTGCTAAATCATATCAGTTGTTGGAAATTATTGATCTATATTTAGTCCAGTGTAGAAAAAAAATGTTTATTTTCACGTGAAAGATCTAGTGCAACAGAACATGAATTTTAAATTGATGGACTGCAATCAATTGCTAGGAATTATCAAATCGATCTGAATATAATATCTAAATATCAATATATTTAAAAAGAATCATCAAAAATCAGAAAAATATATATACTACGCAGCACAGTTAAGGTTACAAATGGAAATATCGGCGATTTTTTTTAAGATAAAAAATGCATAATTTATTACGACGGGCAAATCTTTTTAGGAATTCACTGATATAAAAAAAATGTAATGTGGTTTAAATCTACATGTTGGTGACATCTAGATTTTTTATTTAGACTTGTCATATGATGTCGACGTCACATGACTTTGGCAATTATACTTGCAGTTTAGAGGTCATCTATAAATTTCAATATTGCAAGGGCATAATCAAGTTAAAAATCTTAGTTTATTTTTTAATCCTTTTCAATAATATATGTTGTTTGTAAAAAATGCTGCGAACCTATATATATTCCTTTTTTGATTGGTAAAATTTAATTTGTTGGACGGCAGGATAAATATTTTGCTGGTCAACTACATTAAATACAGCTAAAATTAATTTATTTGCAAGATTTCAAGAGGTTCCCAGCACTTTTCAAATATCTTAATGCTTCTTGAGCTTATGTGTAAAATTTTGACAAGATACATTGAGGGTATGCCCTGGTAATAAATCGATTTATTAGGGCCCTTCCATTATTTTTTCAATGAAATTGCATATAAACACACGACAGTATCGCTTGTCTGGAGAATGCACGTACAGTTTATAAATAAAACACTAAAATAGACATCGCATCCAGGTTAATGGCTTTTTATTTTACTACAAATAATATTTTATTTAAGTACAAAAGACGTATTTCATTGAACAAAATCTGACTTGATCAGCCTCTCACTGTCTAAAAACTGCGTCATTTTTTGCGAGATGACGTCAAATTGACAAGTGCATTGCGATCGATGCATCGTTTATATACTGTTGTGTGGGATTTAACAAACGACAAAATTGCATGTAATAGTAAGTTTGTGGTATTCTGAAGACCTTATATTATGCGTGACGTCATAGTAAACGTTTTCCGCACAAATTAGGCCCGCCCCCTTACTGTAACCTTAACTATGCTGCGTAGTAAACTATAAATGTTCTTGATTGTCTGGCTCTGATTTTTTACCCTGTAATTGCATTTTGTTATACTCAGTTTTCACATGTTTTTGTTTAACTTATTTCATGTTTTGAACACATTTCCTTACCAAAATATGCACACAATGTGATTCCAGATGATAAAGTTTAAGAATTTACTTGCTAATAGAATGACCTTTGTACCCAAAGAGACAACAAATCTATATGGTCACAAAGTAGAAAGCTACTTGTCTTTAAAATCAGAGATTTTTTTCCCATTTTTTTTAAGGTTCTGGAAAACAAAATGTACTTTTAACATTTGAACATAAAGGTGTCGTACCATGAGTGTTGAAAAAAACCCAGAGTTTCAAAGACAGACAGAAACATATATTATTGAAAGCTGGAATAGAAGATGTTGGGGGATTATACCAAGCTCTTACAAGTGCTAATTTGAAAAGCTAGTTCAAAGGGTTCTTTGAAATCGGACAGAGTTTTTTCAGTGATATTCGATGGTGTGCTGAGGGATGTTGTGGGAATTGATAATTACAGCGATTCAGGGATGATTTTACGTGGAAAAGGGGTTCAAAGGCTTTGGAAAACGTTCCAATATGAGGAAAACATTTGGAAACTCTCAAGTCTAGTTTGATTTTAACTACTTCCAGAAATAACACTTTGCTAGTATTTTTTGTTTGTTTATAAAATGATCTAATCAACATGATCGGCTAAACTCAGAAGAAAAGGACACCAAGGGAGTGTCCTCTGTCTTTAAACTTTGCATTTCATGAAAAAATAGTGCACTGTCGCCTCCCTGACCCATCAAGCATTATGAAAAACATTGATACTGCTCGCTGTGTGTGGAAAGGGGGGATGGGAAGGGTTGATTGGATTGTTAAAGATGGACTGGAATGTGGTGATATTGGTTAAGTCATTCTTCGCTGAGTGATGAAGCAGTCTCTAGTTCCCCAAGCAGTGCTCTAGTACTGTTTTTGAGTACCATCTTGCACCATCTTTCATACAAGCATATCATATATCGATTTGTTAGTGCCTCTTTCTAGAGATAGACACCTATAGAATTCAAATGGAACCTCTGTAAAATCTGCAACTATTCCTTTCAAATTGTTTCCAAGATAAATATGTCTTTTCCAGAGCTTCAGAAAAAATATTTACATGTATTGAATATCATTCACTCATTGTAGTACACGTCAATCGAAGATTAAGGAAAAGGAAAATTTACTAATCCTAAAAAAACCTCGTCTTTAAGTTGCGTACCAAATACACAGTTTCCACTTATGTGCATCAAAAATTATTTAGAAATTACACTTCCCATTCTTTCTATATGCATGCAAAGCAAGCACAATGCCAGGCAGTACGTGGTATAAAGAAACGGCATATGTGGTGGTAGTCTCACATTACTAACACCAAACAGATTGGATGGATGGTCTTGGTTATTTGCTACAAAGTTATGAATGGGTCATGGGGATTTTTCCAAGACTTTGAATTGTGAATTACAGCTGCACCATAATTATGTTGTAGATTAGTGAGAAAGAAAAATGTCCAAATTAGATCTTAACAATAAAAGTCATTAAACAAAGACCCGTATCATAAAAATCATAACACATTAACAACAATTCCTCCAACTTTAATTATACATTTGAACATTATTTCATCAATTTAAAACAAACAGACTGTAATAAATTTATTTTATGCAAAACGACGTAGAATTAAGCAGTTTGAGTATTCTACGAAATTCGAGTGTTCGTCATTTTTAATCGCCATTTTTAGATACATGTAAATTAACACATTTCATATTTAAACGATCAAATGTTTCGAATTAAAGTGATGATATTAAATGCTCTATTGTCACTTGCGAAGTTGTACTACTCAGTAAGATATTCACGAAGTCTTTCTCCTATTTAAACATCAAAAAATAATTTGAAAAAAATGAATAACCGCCATTTTGAATCGCCATTTTGACTTATAAAATACAGTTGCACCATCATTCAGATGTAGAATAGTGAGATATACGAGTACAGTAAAAAAAAATACTAATAAATTTTTTAAATAGTATTAGATATCTTTACTTCTTTACAATGTATGTTGCATAAGAGTAGGAAAATAAAACTTACTTGTCTCTGATTTAAAAAGAAGCTTTTACCAGAAGTAAATTGTTACTCAATTTAAGAATTCTTTTTTATGATGTCAAACACAGAAGTAATGTACTGAGAATTGCTTGAAATGAAAAAAAAATCTCAGTTTTTTTATTTATTTATTTAAACAAACACTTTTTTTTAAACTAAAAGTCATGTTCATCCTCTGAAAGTTATTTGCAACATCGCATAAAATATGAATCCTTCTGAAATTGTAAACAGGTATCTACAAGACACTATGTTATTTTTATCATTTATATCTTGATGATACGTTATTAGTTCTTCTTTTGTTTCAATTTTTGAAGGGTGTGACGTGGGATTTTTCGGAGAAAACTGCACCAGGTGTCCTCAGAACTGTTTGAATAACACATGTCAGTTTCAGTTCGGGATATGTTATGACTGTAATAATGGATATACTGGACAGTATTGTGAAATAGGTATCTGTGTAGTAAGATTTGATAGTTAGAACAATTTTGATGTCTTCACTTTTTTTGTAATTTTAAAGTTCCCTTTCTCTTGATTTATTTTTTTTTGGACACTGAAACAGTCGATTTGGGATTACAATATAATCTGAGTCTAATCTTGGCCACATATACTGACACGCAAAAGAATCGCTACATCCTACTTTAGGTGGGAATAATTATGTAAAGTAAAAAAATGTATCTTAGAATTATGGATATCTTCTCTTTGGTAAACACCGGTAATTTAACGGTTGAACGATTTTCATACCATAATCAGAAATCAAGTTTGAGTCAGCTTAACAAAAATCAAAAAATTGCATGTTTAACAAAACTTTAGCCAATATTATGGAGTTTTAAGGGTTTTAAGTGTTCATCATAAGTAATGTAGCAATATTTCAAGAAATAAACTCTCCTTTTGTTTCTCGTAACGATGCTAAGGCTTCTTGAAAAATGGCTTAAGTACGCATTTCCATTGCCCTAGCTGATGCAAAAATTCACAACAGTACGCCTCAAAAGGGTCTTACGTATCATATTCATTAAGGTTAGTCCTTGTACCGGAAGTCCAGGGGTGGCTACACAGCTCTGAATTAGAGAAAATTCGACCCAATTATCTGAAAAATGTGCATTTAAAAATGGCAAAGAATAATTACTTCGCTCAGATCTCGATATTGATGAACCTATTGTATCGTAGAAATAAAGCTGCAATTGTTGTATAGGGCAGTCTTGCACATTTTACTTGAATGGCTGGGAGAGGGTGTTTTACAGTCATGTGTTACTAAGTAAAGCAAAAAGATAAACATTTAACATTTTTATCAAATCTCTGATGTTCTAAAAAGTGAGTTTAGCCTTACTGTATTAATATTTGAAAATGATAAGATAAAAAAAATCAAACATTTGTAGATTACTGCTTGTTGCGTTTCCTTTGCTTGTCAGTATACAACAAAATTAATACATGTGTATTCAAATGAATTTAATTTCAAACTCAAAATTAAAGGATTTTGAAAAAAAAACAAACGCATAGATTATACTGGTATAATCTTAGAAAGCACTTTATATATCTGTTCAATACGTAGGATTCATAGATACTGCGACGGTCTGAAGAGAAAGTTACCTGTCATAGGCACCCTATCCCATGTCTGGAATTTCCAGACTTCAGTTTTGTGCTATTGTCAAAGACTTGTGTTGCTTTTGGATTTTTATGTCGACTACAGTCAATTAATAAAATGTTTTTTTATATCGACAAATAAAATATCAGTAGTGTAGAATATTCCAAAGTGTGGGCATTGTGGAAGACTATGAGTAGACTTTTCAGGGAGTGTTTCTGGATATTTTGTTATAATTACAACTTTGTTAAGTAAGTTGGAATCAATTTGTGACGATTAATTTTCTTTTCTGCATTTGCAAAAAATAAATACATGTAAAATAAGTACTTGCGAATTAACGAATAAGACAAAAAATGTAGATGAAAATATGATTGATTTGTTTGTTTTTCTTTTTAGAAAAAAAGTTAGACCTCCAAAAATAACCGCTTTCCTTGTGCTTTTTATCACTTCTCAAATTATCATGCAATGCTTCTTAGTGGCCAACGCTTTTATACAATAACAGAAATATAATCAATTCATTTTCTATTTATTCTACAATAAACATGATAAAATATGGCCAAAATTTTAGAGAGGCTTAATAACATGTTGTTTACATACCATGAATAAAAACATAAATGAAAACAGTAAAGTTTTTTTCAGAATTGCAATGCATTCACTTTCGTCTTATATATTTTCTAGAATGCCAAGCTGGTAAATATGGACAAGGATGTTCTGCCCAATGTGGACAGTGTATCGATGGTAAACCATGTGACTACGTGAATGGTTCCTGCCAGGGAGATTGTTCTCCTGGGTGGAGAGGAGATAAATGTGGTCAAAGTAAGTTAATGGTCGATGTAATACATGTTTACATACCAATGAATTCACGGTCTAAAAATTGTATTCTTGCATTATTTTTTTCTCTCCACATTACTGTTTACGGGGAATTTCGCCCGAAATACTATCTTCGTTTAATTTTCACACTTTCACACTTTTGCAAATTAAGAAGGGGATGCATTATTTCTTCTAACTAGGTTTGTGCTAATTAAGAAAAATCTTTGTAAAGGTAAAGGCAAAAAATAAAAAAAAAATTGATAATTTTTTTAACTTGCTTGTCATTGATTTTATCTACTTTAAAATGTTCTACAGAATTTCCCTCCACTCTTTACAACATTTTTTCTCACTATTGCATTGATTGCAGAAGCATTAATTTCCTTTGTACATGTGTTTGTATCTGTTTGTTGGTTTGTTAAAGTCTCTTTAAGTAACACATGTACATGTATGGGTATTTTTGAACATTTATTTTTTTCATTTGAAATATGTTATTAGGATATATTTGTATGTAAACTTTATGATCACTTAATTCCTTGCTGACAATTTCTTATCCACAATATTTGAATTGTGGTGCTTGTCTTTCTTTGAAGAGTGTCAATATGGATATTTCGGTCAGAATTGTGATACTCCTTGCTACATTCCTAACTGTATAAACATTACATAATGTGACGCAGTAACTGGGAAGTGTTCAGTGGGTTGTATTGTGAGTTGGGCTGGGAGAACATGTGATGCTAGGTTAAAGTTAATACACGTGTTCTTAGAAAAAAGAAGAAGATAAAAAGAAGATACATGTAGATTGGATAAAGAAATATCAAAACTATGATAGCTGCACATGTAAAATAGTTTTTAATGAAATCGAAATCTTCTTTATGTATCCGTGTAAGGATTACAGATTTCTGAGGAGAGAAAATATGTTTAACCTCTTCAACGATTCATACATTGGTTACTGCGCATTAACAACAAAATTTAGAATTAGCTACATTTACACTGTAAATTTATAGGATTAAGAACAACAAATGTTAAAAGGTATATTCAAGCTGTGTGTGGGCTTTTGGTGATGTGATATGTCTTTCAAACATTTATTCAATGTAATACTCTTCTGCAGAATGTGACCAAGGTTTCTATGGACTAAAATGTAACATGACATGCAGTGAATTCTGCCGTGGTAGGGTGTGTAATCCTACAACAGGACAATGTTATGGATGTGTTGATGGCAGATCAGGATTCTTCTGTGAAATTGCAGTTCCGGTTGACAATTCTGACGATTCTGGTGCAAGTACAGGTATATGTGATGACCCATAGTTTATCCAGTCATGACCCATAGTTTATACAGGAGAGAGTAGAGAATACTTCTTGAATGATACAGAAACATTTACAAAAAAATGATTTTTTTCGAGATTTAAATGATCTTTGAGAAATGTACATTGAGAAAGTGGATACTGTTATGCTTGGTTCATATTGCTCATTGCTCAAAAAAAGTTTTGTGATTATTTTTTCTTCATTTTTTGAATTTCTTTAAGAAGATATACAAAAGGCTACGTATATACATGTAATCTAATGAAAATGTGGTTTATCTGAAAATATTCTTTGATTTTTATAAATTGCAATTTAAGTATATAATCTCTTCTTTTCATCTTAACCTTATTATGCAATATATTTTTTTTTCCAATTTTTGTTCACAAATATATATTCAGAAATATATAACATAGGAGAAAGTCCTTAGATATAAAGAAATAAACTTACTGTTTATCCTTATTTTAGGTTAATTGATTCAGACAATACGAGCATTCAAGAAGCATTTTTATTCAAAAATAAATACATATTCTGCAAAAATGTTCTTTTGTACACATTTCATCAAATTGTAGGTGTTTTGGAACTCTTGTTAATTGACACAATCATAAAACAAGAGGCCCAGGGGCCACATTGCTCACCTGAGCACATCTAGTAGAAAAAAAGCACATATCAGACAAGAACTGAATGTTTACTGAGATCTGTTGGGAGGGGGTTGAATTTTTATCCAAGGGAGTCATGATTTGAACAAACTAGAATCTGCACTACGTGAGGATGATTCCATATAGATATCACTAATCATGGCTTTGAAGTACTTGAAAAGATTTTAAAAAAGTTTCCCTATATACACTCTTATATAAAACTTTGATCAGCCTTTTTGGCCCCAACCTCGCCCCAGGGGTCATAATTTGAAGAAACTTAAATCTATACTACCTGAAGATGATTCCATATGAGTTTCATCTTTCCTGACCTAGTGGTTCTTGAGAAAAAGATTATTTAAGATTTTTCTTATATACTTCTATGTAAAATTTTGATCGGCCATTTTGGACCAATTCTACCCATGGGCGTCATGGTTTGAAAAAGAAACTAGAATCTACAATACCTGTGAATGATTCTACATGAGCTTCATCTTTCCTGGCCCAGTTGTTTTAAGAAGAGGATTTTCAAAGATTTTCCCTATATATTCCTATGTAAAACTTTGATTGGCTATTTTGGCCCCACCCTACCCCTGGGGGTCATTATTTGAACAAACTTGAATTTACACTACCTGAGGATGATTCACATGAGTTGCATTTTTTCTGGTCCAATAGTTCTTGAGAAGAAGATTTTTTAAAATGCCATTAATTTGTATCTAACTCATAATTATCCCCCCCCCCTTGGAAAAGGGTGTGGCCCTTCATTTGAACAGACTTGAATCCCCTTTACGCAAGGATCCTTTTTAGCAAGTTTTGGTGAAATTGACCCAGTAGTTCTGGAGAAGGACATGAAAATATGAAAAGTTTACGACAACGACGACGACAACGACAACAACGACAGACAACGGATAAATTTTAATCAGAAAACATCACTTGAGCCTTTGGCTCAGGTGAGTTAAAAAAAAGAAAGAAGCAATGCACTTCTTTGATTACACTTGATATGATATTGAACAATCAAAGAATTGTAAAACCTTTGAAAACCTTAATCACGCATTGAATGTTTGAAAAAAAAATACATAAGCATAATATCAGCCAACGTTTTTTTTCTTTCATTTATCCTCACCTCGTAGGTAAAGCATTGAAAATCTGTTACCAGTGTAGTTGTTATTATTTGCAAGGAAACATGTCGGTTCTTTATAAAAGTATGTAACGTTTTTTGGCTTAAGGTATGTCAATGTATGTAAAGCAAGGAATACCAATAATCAAGTTAAAAATGTTATAAAAATGCAACACCTGATATTGAAGAAGGATCTTTCTTCGTTCTAAGCCCGATTTGTTATATCTGTTAAGTTTACAATATATCATAAAGTCGAAGAAATTGTAAGCAAACGTGCTGAAAGCGTCAATTCATTATGAGTATGTTTGTTACATGTGTGAGTTGCAGAAAATATATAAGCTCTACAATAATGAAAACTCTCACATTATTTCCTTTTTTAACAGAAGGGAATACCTGGACCACAGCGCCTCTGATCGCCGTTGCATTGTTATCTGTGGCTGTGATCTTGTTGATAACAATTTTGTTCGTCATTTTCCTAAGGAAAAAGCACCAGTCCTCTAAACCTAGCAATAACAACCCTGACTACGAACTAGCCATATCAAGAAAAGACAAAAACGAGTATACTGGTATCCATGCGGCGAAATCCCCTGAATATCCAGAGGTCGAAACGTCTCACTATATGGAGATTGGAAACTCAGACATCAAAACCAGAACAGAGTACATGAATCTTGATCAACTATAAAGTAGTTGACCGATATTATTCTAAAAAAACTTGTTGAAATAAAATTTGCCATGTTCATACTTTTGTATTTGCTTCTGAATTCATTGCTTGACCAAACCAGTTAGACATGATTATTTACAAGAAATGTGATAAAGAAAGTCTTTTGTTTTGTACTGTTCAGACTGCAACCAAAATATTAGATTTTTTGCACAGGTAATAATTTTATTTGAAAATAAATCAAACTGTAAATGTTTTAGCCTTCAAATTTAATCCTCATATAATGTATGATGTATAAAAAAAAGTAATGGTCTTATCTTGTTAATTCTAGATAATCTCAGTTTCTGTAACAAGTATTTCTAAAAGAAATTGGATTTGCTCCTAGAGTGATTTTTGTATCGACAATAGAATTTTCAAAGTGATAATTTAAAAGAGACAGCTGACATGTTTGTTTTGTTGACTTGTTTGCAATAATTTACCTCGTTTTAGAAATCATAAAATCTCCATAAACCATTGTATTCATAGATGCTTCGTATAATTGTGATAAATATTTTTTTTTCTAAATTCAAAAGAATTATCTTTTAATTAAAAACAATGCCTTGTTTAAGAATGGCTGTCGTTGGGTAGCAAAAAGTGATTTCTCCTTTGATTTAATCTTGCCGACAATAGAATGTTATAAGTAGAAGAAGATCTATTTTTTCCGTTGTTAAACTTGGTTCTTAAAAGATGATATTAAAATGTCCCCCTATTGTCGCTCTACACTGAACAAAAAATACATTACCCGAGCATATTATACATAAATATGGCAAATCATGGTTTTGCTGATCTTGAAATAGGCTATTGTTTTTTTTAATCTATTCCTTTGTAAAACTTTCTTTTTAAGGAGGTGGGATCCTGCCTGTTATCAAAAGTAACTAGATTTATTGTAAAGTATATTCAACGAATCCATACAGCCGAATAGGTTGATAAAAAAAATGCTAACGAGAATTGGGATGAATGTGCTTCTTTTAGCTCTACTGAAATTTCGATGACCTATTTTTGCACTGTAATTAAAGTAACACACATTGAAGTCCAATTTTTTTTCTCTCCATATTTTACTGAACAATAGTGTCCTAATACATACTTCATTTAACGGGAACTTTGGATGTCAAATGTTTGAAACTCTCAGTAACATTAATATAGAAAAAAACGTTATGTTCAAGGTTGCCCATGCGCATACCATACCTCACAAAAGCATTACTAATTTATTTAAGCCCTGTTCACATGGAGTATTTAATTCCCAGTAAATTAATGCGAAGTAAACTAATGCGAATTAAAATTTTACTTCTGCAGCCAGGCGTCAACGTGATAAGCGCTTCACTACTTCGGAACATATAAAGTTATGCAGTAAAGACTTTGAAAACACTGATAATTTAGTCCAAGCTTTTTTCACAATCGTCAGCAAACTAGGTTTTACGTGTCATGGATACGTTTTTATGAATGAAGAAGACAGTATAAACCGGTATGAAATTGAAAAGCAGAGAAAATTTGAGAAACTTTCTCGACGCTGTCTTTGACGTAACAATAGTGGCTAATCGTGCTCCGTGGTAACAAAACACGTTTCTTTAAAAATTGACTAACATGAGTTCTATTTAATCAAATGGAATGAAACTTTACACTTCGACAAAATAAATGTTTTTTGTTTACGAAAATAAAATGATCTATAATCTTGTGATAATAATATGACGATGAAGAACATTTTCTACGTATTTTTTGAATGACCCTCGTACTACATGTACTTTGCATTAATAGTATGTCATTCTCCATATGAACTGTAAAGACTGTTAACACGAGTTTATTTAGATATATGTGCTTGATATGAATTTACTAGGACTGAACGTCCATTTTCCATTATTTCCTTTTGTAAAAATTATATTAATGCTATAAGATGTTCTTTTTCAATAAAGAAATTGAAAAATTGAAATTGAACAGGGGTCGCCATTCCACGCCGAAACCTGTTAAAATAAAGCAGTCCGGTGTGACGAATCTGAAGATTATACCTTGGTGTTGATGTATTGTAAATAATGATATCAAACATGGCGTATGCCTATTTACGAGTAGTGTTCAGTTTTAATTTTAAATTGTTTTGATTCAGTTCATTCCGGACCGGTTTTGGTTTGTATCGGATGAAATTGTACGTCATATTTGACGTCACTGCTGCAGCAGAAGTCTATGGATGTTGGAAAAAAGTAAAATCTCTCAGATATTTTTTTAATTCATAGTGTTATAGTAATTTCATTACGGTGACAGAAATGCGTATTAACTTTTTGTATAGCAGTATTCCTATCAACAAGTAATGCGGTTCGTAAAAGTAGAACCTGGTGATCAGTAAGAAATTTCGGATTTTTTTTTCCGATGAATGGAAAAACCATATGGATCTACCATTACCAATTCTTCATGAAAATTTGTTTTAATTTTGTCAAAAATTATTCTGGAATATTATACACGATCTCGATATAAAAGTGAAAGTAGAAACATTGTGTAGCAGTTGAAGTAAATGTTATATTCAGATCGTCATCCGTTTGGTTCAGTCAACAATTTAATGAAAAAAAAAAGTTTTTTTAATTAGGCCTACATATATCTATTTAGCAACTGAAGTTCAGCGTCATAGAGCCGTTCTTTTTCAAAGAACCAAATGCTGAATTGACTGAAGATTGAGCAAAATCATTGAACTAATGCCAATTTTACTGGCGATTGCATAATATCAAATCAGGATAATATGATTATATTAAGAGTGTTTACCTGTAATGACTATCTAATGAAAGAATATCTCATAAGAGAATAATTCTTTTTGTATCTTAATTCTACATGATTTAATGGCTTTCTTTTTTTTCAAAAAATCTATCTCTTTTTTGTTACAGAACAATACGGAAGCCCTGAAGGGACATTGACTTACTTGTTATGACTTATTTGTAATAACTTTCTTTGTTTTCTCTTATTTGTTTTCAGATTTTTTTTTTGTTACTTCTAACTATGTGTAGGTAAGTTATTGAGAACGATTCATTGCAGTTTTGTAGTAAAACGTACAAAACTGATGTGATTACTAAATTTTAAGCTGTTAATTACGGACGCCCTTGAGAGATATTGACTTATTCACTTATTTCTTATGTGTTTTGACTTATTTCTTATGTGTTTTGACTTAGTTCTTATGAATTAACTTTGAATTTTTGTAATTTTGAATTTGTTAGGACAAGTTCAGTTTACAAAAAGTGAAAGATGAAGACAACGTATAGTTTCAGAAAAAGTCCTTGAATTTGTTACTAACGACAAAAAGAAATACATAGTAGTGATTGTCAGTTTCTCAATCATCATGTAAACTGGAAGTTACATATAAGAAGTACGTAATAACTTTTAGAAAATAAAGTTTAAATTATAACAACAAAAAGAATATTTACATTAGAAATCACAACTGTACTAGACGTTAAACTACAATTTGTTAATTATAAACCACAGTTAAAATATGACTAAATATCATTTTTATCATAAAAGTAAGCTAAGCATCAGGTTTTCAATAGCTTTCTTACACTAAGTTATAACTACCTACGAAAAACTCACAACAAATGAGTAAAAACAAAAAAAGTTATAACATATAAATCATAACAAGTAAGTCAATTTCCCTCGAGGGCTTCCGTGGAACAATCCAAGCACATTTTTTTGAAATATTTTAGAGATAAGTAAGATATGGAGAGATCTTTCCGGCGATTAACCAATACAATATCTACTTTGGGAGAAATGTTCATATAAAGAGGACATACAATGTATTAGTTTATGTGTACATGATTTACATGTGTCAATATAAGAATAAGAAAAAAAAATTGTAAATTCAATTCAAAGAAATTAAAGAAAATGCAAAAAAAAAATCCAATAATATGGATCAGCTTATTTATTGATAATTTATATATCAATTGACATTTTTAATTTTTAATCATCACTAGAGAAACTAGAATATTTGTTGCAGTAAGATACATGTATGCATACACCGTTTTGTGTTAGAGATTGTTCCATTTTTTAATAGGTTCAATGTACACATCTCGAAAATAAATAAAATAGAAGCATAGACACCATGATCCCAAGATTGCTACAGAATAGATAAGTAAACCCTCTGTACTAAACTTAAATCTTCCTTATATTTATTATTCCCATTAAAGGTTTTTTTCTTATTCCGAATCATGGCTATTGCATTTTTGGCAATCTGAATCAATATTTACTAATGAACTTTCCAAATTCGTTTGTCAGAAATTTGATAAATTTTTGCTTATAAGCTCATCTGAACCGAAGGCTCGAGTGAGCTTTTTGGATTTAAATTTGTCCCTTGTCTGTTGTAGTCGTTGTCATCCTTAACTTTTGACAATTTTATCTTGTATATAGTTTTAATCACATTACATCAAACTTAATTAAATGCAGAGTTTTTTTTTTGTATATCCGAGAGCTTAATCAGTAGAAACTTTACATTGTAAACTCAACCCGTGCCTTAACATGAGATTTTCCAAATCATATGACCATGATCCAAGCGGCTGGAAAATTAAGAAATTCCTTAAGTGTTCAAAGCAATTACTTTTTGTGGTAATATATTTTAATTAATAACACATGTAATTATCATGACATTGGAACTTCTTAATTCTTTAATCATTTTTCTTCATCATTTCAGAAGCATTGCTGTCACTGTCAGGGAAGTGAAGCCAGAATTGTGTAAAAAAAAAAATGGAAAAATAAATGCAGGATTAGTGCTTACAATCTTGTCTTTTCATTTCTTACTGTTTTCTTAAAGCATTTGAGGACTATTATATCTTTTTCAGATTTCAATTCAAGGACTCATCAACTTTTAATTTAAAATTGTAAAGAAAGAAATAAGATTAACATACGCTGAGCATATGAAAAACATATGAACATAAATATATGTTGATCATATAATCATACAACACATATTCATAACATTTGTTAAACAACACTTTACTCCTAACAAAAATCATTACTTGTATATTTCATTCAACCTTTAGAAAGGCAAACGATTTTTTAAAATTACTTTGAAATTATTTTTCTTTATTTTTATACTCATTTAGCATTTTCCTTATAAATAAGGGATTGTACAAAATGTGTTTAACTGGTATAATATGTGAGCCTGCAGTATTTTTTTCCCTCTTTTTCATTTGCCTAACATATTAACAGAAATATATTTTAAAATTTAAAAAAATAATCATGTATCATAAAGTTGTAAGTTTGGGTGTGGTTCTATATTTACCTTCCTATTTGTGGTTATAAACATTTTATATTTGTAGTTACTTATTCACCAAACCGGAAATTGACAAACAAACAAAGAACCATGATTTAAATATTTCATAGCTCCGGGAGTACGTAAAAAGCTTTTTATGAATCATTTATATATTAATTGCAGTCCTTAAAACTGTGTTAGATAAATAAATTCTTAAAGAAGGAATATTTCACTTTCACTTTTTCACAAGAGAAGATGGTTCAAGTATGAACAGGGAGGAAGTGTTACTTAATTTATACATTATGGACTTTGATATCATCAATTTTCTACTTTTCTTCAGTCGGTTACTTCTCAATTCTCAACAATATGGTAAGTGTTCACTTTTGTTATATGTTTAAATCGTACGAGAATATAAAAAAAAAATAATAAATGTAATACTGATTTTTGTAAGAAAGAAAATAAACAGAACAAAAAATCGTGTATAAAATATCAGAAATTAAACAACTTATTTTAAGAATATCAGGAATCAGATATCATAAAGGTTGCCTTTTAGAATATGCCTATACACATGAAAAAGGAGTAGAAAAAATAAGATATATTTTTTTTTTTAGAAAATCTTGCCAATAGGAAATCTGTGACAGTCAGTAGTAGGTACAATGATGGACATTTTTCACCAAGTAACGCTGTGGATGGAGACAGGAGTACATATCCGCTGGATTGTTCACTTACAGCTTCCGGTCAGAAGGAGGCGTGGTTATCGGTTGATCTCGGGAAGAAGAAAAATATAGCATCGATATCAATCTTACATGGGAGGTGTAAGCATAAAGCTATGTGTCTTTCTATTTCATATATTAAACTTAATACATTGGTCGATGTTATATGAACATTTATTATTCGTTGAATGCAAACTTTGCATCCATATAAAAGGAAGTATCATTCATAGTGTCAAACAATCTATGAGAGTCTGGTATTTATTTGCCTGTATTGAATTTAGGTTAATTTTTTGATTGTACAGAAATTTCACTTTTTCTATTTTGTAAAATTGTCAGGTAAAAAATCCTCCAAAATAGTTTAAAATTTTTAATATTCATTGAAAAATATAACTTTCACGTACAGTAGGTCTCAATGCATCCTCAATGAGATCATCTGACTCTGGTCTCTTTGCTGATTCCAATGGAGACGGGGCAGTGTTTGTTGCTAATCCATTAAGAAGGATTTGTTCGAGTAGTTTTGATGAAAAAGATGCCCAGGTTGTTTGCTTGGCTTGGGGATTTCTACCGTAAGCATATGATAGTCAATTGAAAGAGAACCAAATCATGATTGTTTTGTTTTTCAACATGTACATGCACATTTATTTTTATTTCAAATTTTAGATTTATTTCCAGCAATTTAACAAGGTCATTTATATGCTTACATTTCAAATCTTTGTGAAAAAAGGTATTATGAAAAACAAGACCGGTTGTGTCCTTAAATTAAGGAATGGCACTAATGTTTGATCAAAGTATTCGAGAATAAACTGATTTGGGTCAGTTCATGCTTATTAATCCGCAAAGCAAAATACAAACAATGTAAACGAAATAATATAACCCCTCCCTGACCCCTTAAAAATAGTTTTTAAGTTGCTCTGCATGTCACTTATTAATAAGATCATGCGCTTATATTTATATTTCTAGATTTCTATCTATTGATTATTTTTCTTTTTTAGAGATAATCCATCTAATAGCATAGCTAGAGTTTCCGCAGCGGATCCATTACCATTTTATAACCTCTTGAACTGTGTAGGCAATGAAGTTAACATAAATCTATGTCCAAAGGGATCATCTAGCTGTCCATCAGGATTAGCTGCAGCTGTAAAATGTCAAAGTAAGGTTGGTTGAGTAAATGTTGAAATGTAATTTTATTAAAGTTATTAACTTCTAAATTTCGAAATTTGATTTCTCCGCAATAATACCGGTATGCGTGCAGATGTTTCTCTAATTCTTTCATTTAAATATGTACCGTAGCCAAAACTATTCTTGAGACAAATAGTCATAATAAGATGTACCATTTATTGTTTCTTTTACTGTAGATCACTTAATTTTGCCGACACATAAAATATAAAATAGTATGTTTTGTGGAAATGTGGAGATATATTTTTAATAAAATCGTATAAATACATGGACTAGCCAAGACTTTTCTCTAAACAAATCACCATACAGCATAATTATTCATATTTCTTTAATTTCTCTCCAGATGGTAACACACTCTCTGGATTTTCTGTGTATGTATCTGATACAGAAGACTGGAGGTCAGGAACTCTGTGTTATCATCATGACATACAACAACAACCACACAATAACTTCACATTAGACTGTGTCACTTCCGGTCGCTACGTCACTGTTTACAATAGAAGAAATATAACATCATTTCCTAATGTATCCGAATTTTCGTATATAAATATATGTGAAGTCGAGGTAAAAGGTAACTGTTTTCTTTATTTAATTAATGGATATACACAGAAGTGTTATCTGCTATCAGCTATCACACTTCTTTTCTCTTTATCTTTGCTTTCGTTTTACGTGTAACTGACTGTAATTAGTCTTCAGGTTAAAATGAAGCGGGAACTATTTTTATTTTTTTTCTTCAAAAACTTGAATTTACTAAAAATTAATGTTAAATCACGATTCGAATACTTTTTAGATTTAAAGTGTATCATTTTATGCAATAAATGTACACAAATTCGTATTAAATAATGGCTTGCATTCATATATTTTGAAGTTAGGTCTAAAATTTGAATAATAACATTAATCTCGTGTTATTCTAATTAACATGAAATTAACATTAAAAAATTAATGTTAAATTCACATTAACACGAAATTAACATTAACTAATTAACGTTAATCTAATGTTACTTTTTGGTTCTAGTTTTTTAAGACAGAACCCAAGCTCACTTAAAATTTTAATGTTAATTCAATGTTAAAAATTAACATGAAATTAATGTTAAGTTAAATTAATGTTAAAAATTAACGTTAATTCAATGTTAACTTTTTTAATGTTATCTTAACACGAAAGTAACATGAAACTAACATCAAGCTAACGTTAATTTAATGTTAATTGAGATTAACACTAAATTAACGTTAGGCACAATTGGCTGTGTACATGGCTACAAATCTTTGATATCTCTTTCCCTGTAGCTTCATTTTCCTTACTCTGAAGAAACTCGTCATCGATATAATTAAGAATTAGTCATCCAGTGGAAAATAACTGACTTGAATCCAATGAGTTGTAAATATTAAAATTATTGAATACAAGGCTTTATCAAATTAGGTCATAAACTGATATAATGAAATAAATCAAAATCTGGTCTATGCGTATAAAATTCATTAGTAAGCCAAAACAATGGTAATAATTAAGAATTTTGTACGATAAGTTACCATTTACAAGGTCTATCTTACTAGTCTATCACGGTGGAAAACGGAGAGATGGGACTAATTAAGATATCAATAACACCTGTATGTCTGTTCCTCTGTCTGTCTTCCAGTCTGTCTGTCTCACGTAATTTTATGCATTTTTTTTTCTAAATTGCTTTGCAGAAAATTAACTTAACTTTAAGCATATGATAGTGTATATCAATAAACTAAAGATCAAATTTGCATTTCGTCTGCTTCAATAATTTGATAGAAATTACGGTTTTTTAATGTTTTTTTAAGTCTTTTTAAATACAATGTCCATACATTTGCACTTATATTTGTGCAATTATATATCCTTTTGGTTTCCTCATAGTGTGCTTAAAGTCAAAAATATAATAAACTATTCTCTGTATGAGGAAACATTGGAAAAATATGAGCAATTCCCTCAAGGATAGATTTTATCGAATCACTAAAATGACTTTAGATGAAAGAAAAAATGAAAAGTGTATGTTAAAAAAATCAAGTCAATATCCTTTTTTTCTTCCTTGTAATTCAGAGTTAGTAATACGTCTAAAAGGCTTTATCATTTGCATCTTCTCTAATGTAAAGGAAATTAATCGCACGATATAAAATATACACACAGTCTTTTACAAAGATATTATTAAAACGTAAGATATTAAAAAGAATGTAAACAGTTTTAGCATAAATTGGGTGACTACTTTCATATCAAAGTTGTTTGAGAGGCACAAATAATCAATTTAAAAAAGTTCCGTTAAAACAAAAATTAGGAAATATAAAAAGGGAAAAGATTTCAAACACCCCTAACAAAAAAATACTATAGTAAACTATAGTTTATTACATTTTTCTATAGTTTACTAAAGTAAATCTAAGTTCAATAGTTTTCACTATAGTAAATCAAAGTTCCAAAGTCTTTAACATTAGGATAGTTAATTAAAGTTCCAAAGTTTTCCCCATAGTAAATCAAAGTTCCAAAGTTTTTACCATAGTAAATCAAAGTTCTAAAGTTTTTAACATAGAAAATCAAAGTTCCAGAGTTAATGCCATAGTAAATCAAAGTTTCATAGTTTTTACTATGGAAAATCAAGGTTCAAAAGTTTTCCCCATAGTAAATTAAAGTTCCAAAGTTTATACCATAGTTATTCAAAGTTCCAAGGTTTTATCCATAGTAATTATTAAGTTCCAAAGTACTATAGAAAATCAAAGTATTAAAATTTTGGAAAGCTTCTTATTAAGTTATTTTTTTTTTAAATTATTAATCTGTTTTAAGGGTAATGATTTTGGTTTGATTGGGCTAATTTTTGTTCATCTCAATTTCAATTTGCAAAGTAATTAATTTAAATGCAGTATTTACATTGAACGGTAGAAAAAACATGTTGATTGACGCTTATAAAGCAAATACTTTTATTCTAAATAACAAATTTTTAACTTATAGTTATTTTTTTCTCCAGAAATAATTATAAATATTGCTTATTTCTCGGTGCAAGGACAATTTCTTCATTAAAATTCATTTCTTGTACTTTGTTCTTTTCGGGGACCGGTCGGGTTTTTAAAACATTCATTTAAGCTTTAATAAATCTTATTCTTGAAATTTCATAAAATTTACAGAATGAGAAGCAAAACCATTTTTCTACGGGTTTTATAGTACTTATTCAAAGTTCCAAAGTTTGCATTATAGTAAATCAAAGTTCCAAAGTTTTCACCAAAGTGAGTCAAAGTTCATAAGTTTTCACTATAGTAAATAAAAGTTCCAAAGTTTTCACCGTAGTAAATTAAAGTTTCGAAGTTTATACTATAGTAAATCAAAGTTCCAAAGTTTTCACCAAAGTAAATCAAAATTCCAAACTTTCCACTATAGTAAATCAAAGTTCCAAAGTTTTCACTATAGTAAATCAAAGTTCCAAAGTTTTCACCATAATAAATCAAAGTTCCAAATTTTTCACCATAGTAAATCAAAGTTCCAAAGTTTTCACTGTAGTAAATCAAAGTTCCAACGTTTTCACTACAGTAAATCAAAGTTCCAAAGTTTTAAATTTGGTACTCTAGTTAACTATAGTAAACTACTAGGGTTGTCCGTAAAGTTCGTGGACAAGCTGAAAAATAATTAAAAGTTGTATCATTGGTATTTATAATCAACAACTTTTTAATCTTTCACTAAATGTGAATTAAAAAATGTAAAATTTTACTTAAGTTCATATGTTAAATTACAACTATAGCTTCATAACTAGACTTGGAATGGAGACCCGGAGCACTGCAAGATTTTAGTTCAAAAATTATTTATTGCTTTTATAAATTACATTTGTATTTCATAAAATTCTGCAAAAATCTTGCTTACTTTTATATTGTCAGGTTGACAGAAATTATCACATCAAACATGCAAAATTTGAACGTTCAAAGTTTCAAAATGGCTGAGCAATCAAAGTTAGAACATTTTTAGACAGGATCGGAATTGTTCAAAAAATGGACGTTCTCGGAATAGGTGGAATTCTGCGTAGACATCGGAAAAACACCCACAAAGACCAATACATTCTGTAAAAAATCGGGAAAACATAGTTAAAGAAGCTGTTTATTAGTACTAAAGAGCCATACAATATTTTCGGACAGAAGGAACAGTTTACAGGATGACATGCATGTAGGAAAACCATCATTCCAAGATTGCAGTGCTGTAAAAAATGAATTTCATAACGTGACTTTGCCGTATTTCCGTAAATAAAACTGTTTTACGCAGAGGGAGGTTGAATGATTGGAGGATACTAAGTATGAGACAGGCATTTTTTAAATATTATTTCACGTATGAAGAAACCTGAACATTTTGTGCACATTTTTATGACTAATTAAAGCGACATAAGAAATGTATTGAGTTAAACGGTGAATATGTTGAGAAATGTACACGTATTAAGCTTTTGACGCCGGGTAACGTCAAGAATTTTCATTTTAGTGCTCCGGGTATGAGTGTTTGTCCTTTTTGTATCTGATAAAAATATAACTATTTGTGCTTTGTTTTTGTTGAAAACTTGCATATTAATAAAATGAAATATGAATTTAAACAAAATGATAGTTTCATATATTTTATCAATGTTTGTCACTATTTATCAATGTTGTCCACGAACTTTACAGACAACCCTCGTATAGTTAACTATACTAAACTATACTAAACTATAGTTAACTATAGTTAACTATAGATAACTATAGTATTTTTTTGTTAAGTACGGTTCAATCTTGAAAAGAATCAAGTAAAAATATGGGGAGAAAAGCAATAAGATGCAAAACAAATGCCACCTTCATTTTTCGATTTTCATCAGGAGACAGGATAAGGTGTGTAGTACGAGAAACTATCTGCTGACTACCTATACAGCTTTACCCGCAATGAGTCCTGCCCTTCCTCGAGTAGATGGATTAACAAGTGATCAAAATTGATTGCAAAGTATTTTTATTCTCATGAGAAGGATATGGAGATTACGAACAGTATTCAATATCAAAGTCCATAAAACGATACAAAATAGAAGCAGAGCAAACAGGGACCTCAGAAACATCAGAGGTCAGATCAGGAGTCATGTTGGAGTGAAAATTCCCAGCTGATCGGTCACACTCGTGTGCTCATTGTCATAATCGTGAAATAACAGGAAAATCCGTCGTCAATACAGTGTATAAATAATAGACTAACAATTGGTATGAAAAACATAAGTCAGCATTTCACTCAATGATAAATTGTATTTGCTGACATGGTCATTTTATCGACCATAGAACTTACGAAATGATGAAATTAAACGAGACTGCTGATATTCATGATTCATCAACTTGCTTGTCAAAAATTTACCTTGTTTTAGAAATTGTTCATACGTAGAGCATGCTCTTGCACATCGAATCAACTGAAATATAAACACTCCCTATGCCGGTTGATGAAGGTATATTGCTGTAAAAGTATGGGAAGTTGATAGAAAGTTGAAGTCATCAAGTTTATCATATAACATGGTTGTTAGGTTACCATTAACGTCTTTTTCAAGTAAAATATCCAAGTATAAAACAGATGTGTCAGATTCTGTGATATCTTTTATCGCAAGCTCTCCTGGATGTATCGTATTCGAATGGAAAATACAATTGTTGATTGACATTACTATTATATGTAATCTCTTACTTTTGAATGACCTAAACATGTTATGACGGCGTATGCTTCGGAGATTTGGAGGCAAAGATGTTTTTTATTCCGTGCTTCCCATTTCTGTCTCTAGTAATTCTGTGTTGTAGTTTGTTTTCTATTTATATGTTTGTCAACAATACCTTTATTTTCGACCTTATTATCTTTGGATTGTCTGAAGTTGTTGTTTTTATATTCAAAAGATGTCTCTCTTGTGATGGTTTAAAAGAAAAACGTTGTTAACCTTGAATTCACACTTTTCTTCGATTTCGTAAAACATATAGCTTCGTCATGATTTTGAAACGGGCTTTAATTTTCAATCATAAGTATAAAGTAAAACGACCTTTGTTTTTTTCTTTAAAATTTCTTCGACTTTTTGACCTTCACATCTGCCTTTGGCAACATGACGTCGAACAAATACCAAAAAATAACATCAATTTTAATTGTATCACTTCTGGTCGCTACGTCACTCTTTACAATACAAGGGATATAACCATATACCCAAAAGTATCTGAATTTTCATATATCAATAAATGTGAAATCGAAGTTAAAGGCAACGGCTTTCCTCGCATTCATGGATAAACAAGTAAAATTGTTTTCAATATGTTTTCAAAGCAGGTTACTGCAATAGAAATCAATCACTTTTATCAATTATCTATGCATAATGACCTAATAAAATTATCGCTTATGTTATTTTTCATCATTTTTATCTTGCAAATAGGTTTGTTGTTCTTCTTTTGTTGCAATATTTGTAGGATGTGACTTTGGCTTTTACGGAGAAAACTGCACGAGATGTTCTGAGAACTGTTTGAATAACACATGTCACTTTCAAATTGGAGAATGTTTTGAGTGTAACGATGGATACACTGGACGGTATTGTGAAACAGGTATCTATGAAGAAAGCTTTGATAGTTAGAAAAAATCGTGATGGGTCTTCATATTTTTTTTTAAATTCCAAAGTTCTTTTTCTCTTGATTTATTTTTTTTATTTGGACACTTAAACAGTGGTGGAGGATTACAGCATAAGCTAAGTCTTGTCGTGGCCACGAATAACTTAAAAAAACAATGTATGTATATTCAAACACTTTGAATTTTAAATCCAAAATTATTATGGAAAACTGTATAATTATATAAAAGATTGGTAGACAATCAAAAAGTGTAATCACAACCAAGCTCTTGAATATAGAAATAAATAGAATCGAATCAATTTGAAGTTTTGAAACTCTTCCTTTTAATGTATTGATTGATTAATTGTATATTGCTTAACGTCCCTCTTGAGAATTTTTCACTGAGATGGAGACGTCACCGTATGCCGGTGAAGGGCTTCAAATTTTGACCTTTACTCGGCACTCAGGGCCATTGAGCAGTGAGGGATCTTTATCGTGCCAACGCCTGCCGCTGACACGGGGCCTCGGTTTTTAAGGTCTCATCCGAAGGACCCGCAATTTTCACTTCAAAGTGCCGAGCGCATGGCGAAGGAACAGTTGCTACCCAATTTAACGACTAGGTCAGTCGCGGTCGAGATACGAACTCACGACCTCCCGATCACGGAGCGAGCGCTCTACCGACTGAGCTACCGTGAATGGTTCCTTTTAATGTAAACATCATTTTGTTAGAATTCCTGAGACATTTACTTTATTAAAGGGGCTGGGTGGTCGTGGCCATTTTAGACTATTTCGATCACCTTTAGATTGATTGATTGTATGTTGTTTAAACGTCCCTCTCGAGAATTTTTCACTCATGTGGAGACGCCACAACTTGCCAGTGGAGGGCTACAAATTTTGTCCTATTCTCCACTACTGAATTAAATATCCCCTTAGATTCCAAAAAATCCCCTGTTGTCCCCTGTCAGTCCCTTACATTTTCCTGTTTCCCCCTGACTTTCTCCTGTGATCCCCTGTCGTTATCCCTGCTCTCCCTGTCCAGTTCCTGTCGTCCCCTGTCGTTCTCCCTGCCTTCCCTGTCTACTCCCTGTCATCCCCTGACATTTATTTTGGCCAAGAAAAGGAGTTTAAAATATATTTTTTGTTGCATTTAAGAGTGAAAAATGATATAGTATTGAAAACATTATTTATTTATTTATTTTTTTTGAAAATATAGATTTAGTAAAAAGTTAACATATTTTTAAATGCCTTATTTCGAGGGGAGAACTGCAGCGATTCTAAAGAAGAAATAAATTACCAATTTATTGCATCGTGTGATGCTAGATGGCATATACATTGTACTTTATGAACCTTTTATATATATCTAGAAACTTTTTTCATTTTTTACTGGATCTTCTTTGAAACATCTTTGAGCGTAATAACTGTCTTTGTAAAAGAACTAGATTTAAAACATTTGGGAATACATTATCAAATCTATGCATGGGATATTTTTTTCCCAAAGAATTAAATGAATAAAAATTCAATTGAAAGGAAAATTTTATATAAATGCATTAATAAAATAAACGTCTTAGTAATAAATAGAAATTATTAAATAAACTATAAATCTATTCTATTTTATTCATTTATTTTCTTATGTGAATAAATCTACAAATAGACTGAATTAAAAATGAATGAATAAATAAATAAATAAATAATGAGCATTACATAAATTTATTTATTTATTTTTTAATTGATCACTCATTTATATCCCCAAAATTTGATTTATTAGTTTAATTTTAGTTATTTGCTGAAATATTCTACAAAGTATTTTATTGGCATATTAAAACGACTTTTTATTACTTTAAGTCCATGATGGATATCAAAATAATCGTCTCATTATGCACAATATTAATCTGTCAATTAGATTTTTGATACATTGATTTGATCATAAATCGGTTTTCAAAACCCTAACACGGTTCTGAAAGAACATCAAAGCCATTGATGTTTACCAGTAATTAATTCGGGGTACACGGTCATGACACCTATTATCTTTTTCACTGACCGCTATACCTTGTTTTTGTTGTGGCAGGACGTCCGTGTGTAGATTGCAGCTGTTTGAAATAATAATTTCTCTTTGAATGAGAACTGATTTTTTTTCAATCAAAACAAACTAAAAGTATCACAGAAACTATTGGTGGTTTATGACAATGACAATGACAATGACAACACATTGCTACATGATGCTACATTGTACATTTGTTGTGTTGTCCATAAATAAGATAATCCACAATCATCTAAAATATTTTTAACATAGTTAACCCAAGGCAAATTATGCATTGAAGCTAGAACATACATTTTTGTAGCAAATTTATCCATAGTTTGAGAAAAATGTAGTTTTGCCCAAAAAGAAATCATTCTCACCTTAATATTAATGATAAGTGGGAATCTGCCAAGTTCCCCATACACCATGTAGTTTGGCGTTTTAGTGTTCAAACCTAGTATATATTTACAATATTTTAAGTGAAGTTTTTCGATTAAAGTATTTTTTGTAAATCCCCATATTTCACATCCATATAACAAAAGTGGTTGTACAATTCTGTCAAACAAATCTATCTGACAATCCATAGAAAGATTATGTTGTTTACATTTTGATATCACTCCATACATAGCTTTTACAGATTTATTGTATTGTTCTTTTATATTTTGATTAAAAGAACCTGATTTTGAAAAATATATTCCTAAGTACTTATAACTATCAACAATCTCTAGACATGAACCATCATATGTAAAATATAAATCTTGTTTTATTCGACCTCTTCCAAAAATCATTATTTTTGTTTTGTCAACATTCACTTTTAACCGCCATTTTATACAATATTCATGAAAACAACATATTTTTTAATGACTCAGGGTTTTCAGCAAATAAAACAGTGTCATCAGCATACAACAGAGCAAAAAGCTTAATATACACATGAAGTTCATTCTCAATCATTTCAGATATTTTCTCTAAACCAGTTATATCATTCATGGTGAGGAATGATTCTAAATCATTTAAATAGAGCGAGAGCAAAAAAGGGGATAAATTTTCACCCTGTCTTACACCAAGTTGACAAGGGAAAGTATCTGAAAGAACACCATTTACTCTAATTTTTGCCTTGATACACTCATACATTTTCTTGATTATTCTAAAACATTTTCCATCTATATTACAATCAAATAGTATTTTGTTCCAGAGTCCTATTCTCCATACAGAATCAAAAGCTTTTTCAAAATCAATAAAGGCACAATAAATTCTTTTTTTTTATCTTTTTGAATATTTCGATGATTGAATGCAAAGTAAATATGTGATCAGATGTACCATAATTTTTACGAAATCCAGCTTGGTTTTCTTGTATTATTTTGAATTCTTCTGAATATCTATTAAGTCTATTATTTAAAATGGATGTAAATATCTTTCCAATACAACTAATTAAAGTTATTGGGCGATAATTTTTGGGTTCAGTATCATCACCTTTATTCTTATAGATAGGAATTATTTCACCACACAACCAATCGGATGGGAAACAACCACTGTCAAGAATTTTGTTGAATATTTTTTGATAGAGGGGTACCATTATGTTGCATGAACTTTTAATATATTCATTGTATATGTCATCACTTCCACATGATTTGTTTCTTTTAAGACTTATTATACTTTGCATTATTTCATCACAAGTTATCGATTCATTTATGGACTCATTACACTGTAAATTAGAAAGAATATCTATATCCTCATTTGACAAAACATAGTCAGGTATTTCATGATCTTTTTCCATATTTAAATCTTTAAAAAATGCATATAATTCCTCAACAGATGCATTTACATTTTTTCTATTTTTTTGCCCAGAATTTATTATTTTCCAATATTCTTTCGGGTTTGATGATTCTAGTTTTTTCAATTTTTCTTTCGTTTGATTTTTATGGTTATTTACACACATATTCAACAATTTTTTATATATTTTTTCTTTACTATACATATCGTCATTGAGATCTTTACTTCTATTTCTCTGGTAGCGTTTTTTAGCCTTACGAACTGTTTGTCGTGCGTTGTAACATTCTATTGTAAACCATGGTTGGTGAAAATCTATCTTTGATTTTCTTCGATTATTTTTATCCCAAATGTTTCTTTTGCACTTGATATAAGAATGTTACAGGTATCGTCTACAATTTTGTCAACAAAATCTAGATCGATTTCTTCTTCTTTAATATTGTCAAGAATTCCACATAAATTGTTAATCTCAATATTTTTCTGACTTATTTTTCAAGAAAAATGTGTTGCAAGTCGTCATTCCAACCTTTAGCTTTATCTTTTTGTTCGTTATTACAGGTATTTTCATTATTAGTATTTCGTTTCTCTTGGTTAATTGTCAATGATAGTTCTACATGAATAGGATTATGGTAATCAGAGTAAAGTTTCGAAAAATCATGAACTTCGAAATTTTTAACAACAGTCAAAAAGTCAGTATTACCTATGCAATAATCTATTACACTAATACCTTTACATGTAGTTTTACCAATACATCTATCTCCCATACGACCATTCAAAATAAAAAGATCAGTATGTTTACAAATATCGAGTAAAAGTTTGCCAAAATTATTCTTGACTAAGTCTTTTGATGACCGTTGCGGTGGGATATTAAGTAAGTCTAATACATACAAACTTTCAGGTAAAAAAATCAGAATAAGTGTCACAGTTAATAATGTAATCTGGGTCTATTCCAGTTCTTGCGTTAAAATCACCGATTAAACAAACATATTTACACTTGTTAGAAAAACGAACATATTCTTCTTCCAATTCTTCAAAAACATCACAAGATACATATTTAGAATTTTCAGGTGGTATGTAATCAGCGCCTAAAAGTAATGTTTCATTTAACACTTTTTTATTATGGTTGAATTTTAACCATAAACAATATTTACTTGCAGAATGTATTAATTCTAATGAATTGACGAGTGTCTCTCTAACTAAAACAGCAATACCACCC